TGACATCGTAATTAGAGTCAAATAAATTCCATACTAAAATCAGACTTATTGCAAACCTGAAATTTTGACATTAGAATCCTCGTCCTTATACTTATTTCTAACTTTATTTTAATAACTTTAAATTATAGTTCATTTTTTTTGTTGTCTATAATAGTACATAATATTAAAGAGGCATTAGAAATTATAATTTTAGAAGGTTTAAATGACGATTATATTAAATATTTAATATTAAAAAACTTCTAACGGATACGAATGTCGGCGAGCCCATCCAAAAGCTATAAAGTCGCCACTACCTGCTGCCCTTAAACATCCACAATTAAGGACAGGCACAATCCTTAATAAAGTCAGTTTTAGAACATAAACATCTGCGCATGCTTAGATGTCAAAATAAGAGCGGCACTAATAGTGACTGACCTTAAGTGAACTTGCAATAACTCTCTTATTAAGGACAGGCACAATCTTTATTAAAGTAAGTGATCTGCGCATGCTCAGATGTCAAAATAAGAGCGGCACTAATAGTGACTGACCTTAAGTGAACTTGCAATAACTCTCTAATTATACAACTGATAACATTAACATGTAACGTCATAAAACTGAAATCTGACGTCAGGATCATCCTTATATAGCTTGACGGGTAATGACATTTCCACACATTTCTGGACTATTCTATCTTCTTCTACTTGTACTTTTACTTATGACGACCGCAGCACATTGTAGGGCGATGAGTAACATTCCACTTCTTTTTTCTATCTGTACGTTTCCTATGATAGCCGCAGGCTACTGCAGGGTGCTGCGTAACAATATCCTTATCTCTATACTCCATACATATGGGTGAGCACTATATATTGGTATCATTGTGTGATCGGAATTATCGACTGTCGGGGTCCTTCTGGTACAGAAGCGCCATCTTAATTTTATACATTTTGAGGGACACTTTTTGTATACAGAGATAGTTCTTCTTACCTCTACACTCTATAGTCATGTCGCATAAGGTTCGATGCGGTACGGTCCGACACAATACGGTCCAGTAGGATCCGGCACAGTATAGTGTGGATATTCTGAGATACGTTTCAGTTGAACACGGACGACGGAAGAATTGTTTGTTGTTAACTACCGTGAGCCACGACTTGGTGGGATGTTCCCTTAAATATATAATGGTTTATGGTTTTGCAATACGCCTTTTTAGAAAAGAGAAATATATGATATTAAATGGAAATAATTTCATTGACTATGATTTACTGTTTTTAATGACTGGAGAGCAATTTCATAAACCTGCGAAAACCAAATCAGCCTTCGTGGAAAATCCTGATAACGTCCTTGTTATAAACAACGCTCTGGATGCTAATAATGCTCTTCTAAAACTGAAACATTTGTATCATAAATATAATGATACTAATTGTAAGTAATGTAATGATAAATAGAAAGGCGACCTTAAAATTAATAAGATCCTTTTTGACAAAATGAAAATTTTTGTGGCATAAGCGCAAAGTGAATGTAATTTTTTCACGTGTTGCACGTGTTTTTTTATTAAAAATAAAACTGCAATTAGGTTTATTTATCTAACAAATTAGATAACATCCCGCACCAAATACGTAATGTCACGGCACGGTAGAGTCCGGACGATGCGGTCCAGTAGAATCCGGTACGGTGCAGTGGGTTAACGGATATTCTGAGATATGTATCAATTAAACGCGGACGTCAGAAGGGATGTTTGTTGGTTATGTGTACTCTATACGTCAACGCATCGTATTCACCGTACGTCAACCTCGGGGCGCCACCAGACTTGGAGGGATGTGTAATGAAGTCAATTTTCATTATTATTTTTTTTAACTAATTCCGGATATTAATTTCGATTTTTACTTAATTTTAACTTCGTGAATATGCCCTGTATATCAGTTTGTCGCTGTTCAAATCAAATCTTCGAGATACTCTGCGTGCGCGAGTTGTAATGGTGGGGTTTCTTCTTTGGAAAGGGAAGCGACGCGAAGATTGAACAAGGTCCGAGATTCAATTAAAAATTTTAGTTCCTAATAGACTTGATTTCAGCCAGTTAAAAGTAAAAGCCGCATTCTCAATTAGTCATGCCGTCGATAAATTTTTCGTATCGTGTTTATAAATCCGTTCGGTAAAAAACCTTGTTTCGTTTTTACTTTCATATTTTTATAGAAGAAACGTTTTATATTGAGGCCGTATTTCATTTAAAAACCGAATTATCTTTTAGAAATAGGAACATTTTAATTTAGTGTTGAGTTAAAAGATATAATTTGATTTCATTAATAAATATTAGAATTTATTTCTTGGCAAATATAGTACCGTTTTTATATTGTTGGGAGAAAGATTTAATTTGATTTCATTAATAAATATTAGAATTTATTTCTTGGCAAATATAATACCGTTTTTATAAATATTGTTGAGAAAAAGATTTCGTTTCTTTAAAGGGAATTGAATATGATTTAAATAAATGATAGGGTTTAGTTCTTTAACATTGTAATACCGTTGATTTAGACTTTTAATAGTTAGTCTGTCCTAAATTTGATTTCATTGATAAATACTTTGTTTAGTAAGTGCCGCGTAATAACTAAGTTGGGAATATTCAGAAACGGAGTTTTCGAGAAGACGTTTTCCCTCTTTTAATAGTTTGTTTATTCTTTTACCGCAAATTTAAATAATCTTAAATAGTGTCCTGTTCCTGTCTGAACGGGCTCGTGATGACGATCAGTTCATTCTTGGATTAGGTGCTATCCGCGTTATTTTTTTTTTAGTTAATGTTCAAACCGCAAATTTAAATAATCTTAAATAGTATCTTGTTCCTGTCTGAGCGGGCTCGTGATGACGATCAGCTAATTCGTGGATTAGGTACTATCCGCGTTAGTAGTTTTCTTCCCTCTGATAATAGTTTTGTTTTCTCTTTCACCGTCAATTTAAATAACCTTAAATAGTATCCTGTCCCTGTCTGAGCGGACTCGTGATGACGATCAGCTCATTCTTGGATTAGGTGCTATCCGCGTTAGTTTTCTTTTTCCCTTTGTATTCTTTATTTTTTTTTTTTCGTGCAAATTGCAAATTACAGAAATCTTTAAAAGCTTCATTACCCTGTCTGAGCGGGCTCGTGATGACGATCAGCTCATTCTAGGATAATAGGCTACCCCAGATATAATTTTTTTTTCCCTTTCCGAAAGTGGTTCTTTCGCGATCCTGTCTCCTCGCACTCTCTTCGACCGTTTTGATAATTCTTCCTTACCGAAATAGTAAAGTACATACATTTTAGTTTAATTCCCGATACGACAGTTAAATAGTTAATTTTTGCTACAAGCCCAAGCCCAAGCAATGATTGAAGCCCGTTACTTGTGGCCTACCATTACCTGTGTCTAAGTAACCTTTGACCTCTGGAATTTTTCATCTACATCTGTAGCTACCCGAGTACTTTCGACGCCGTTTCGAGAGTTTGTGGAGTAAACCATAACCAAAAATATGGCGCTCGAGAATCGCCCGTAACCAGCGCATTCGTAAGGAACCGTTTTCTCTTTAGCGAGAAAACCCCTTACAGATTTTCAAGGGCAATACCAGAAAACGTGAGCATTTTTGAGAACATGTCGCTTCTTTGGAAATTATGAGTCTAAATTTCAGGAGGATTATATTGAGTAAAAATTGTATAATGGACTATAACAGTAAAATTTTTTTATTACTCAATTTTAAACTTTACCACTTACAAAGTACTTTAGCAAAATTTTGCCGTTCGAATATCACTGGAGGCCAAAGAAATAATTGTTAAAGTTGAAAATTCCCCTATGTCCCATATGTCCCGTGACGTATACCAATAAATTCAGAAAATTTAAATTTTGTTGCCAAATGTACTTTTATTTTCCTATTAGCCCTATCTCTGTGTGTATTGTAGGAGAGTGAAATAGAGAAATAATTAGGTGTCTGTTCGTTTTTTAACAATTATGGACAATGCATTAAGTGATGTTGCAACAAAATAAAAAGTGTAGCGTCGATTAAAATTTAGTGGAAGTATATTTAAAATTTTTGTAGTTGTCGATGTGTATTTTAAATAAATAATAATACCTATAATAAAAATTCCACATATCTTTTTTTACTTCGACAGACAGTAAAATTGGTTACAAACCTAAACCGCTCGATTGCATTTAGGTGGTACCTCGCGCATTTAATATAATTGCAACATCATTATATTCCCTAATAAACCAAATGTCAGAAACTTTATACGCAGTGTGTCTACTTAAGTTGGAACCATGGAAAACTTTTTTATTATTGGTTTTGTGAAAAAATGTATACTTGACAAAAAGTTGTGCATGGTCCAAAACATAAAATGCAACCATCAGATATTAATTTTTTTAAGCCGTATACGAGGTTTGTTAAAAAATATGAGTTTTGCTGAAGAATAACGTACCTTTATTTTTGACAAACCTCGTATGCGACTGATTAAATTTGATATTCGATGATTGTATATTGGGTTTTAGACCATGCTTGAATTTTTATGAAGAATAATAACTTTTTTCCTAATATTAATAATAAAAATATTTTCAAATGCCGCCAACTTACGTAGACAGTTGGTGGCATATGAGAAACCTTTTTTACAAAACCAAGGATAAAAAGTTTTCCATATGGTTCCAACTTAAGTAGACACATTCTATATGTCAATTTGAAACTAACATATTAATTTATACAATTCTCTATTATATTTCTATTTATGAATCGTTTCTAAGCATTTAACATGAATCCTGGATTTGTGAAAGCAGATTCAGCTAATTTAAAAACGTCCACAAACATCAAATAGTTGACTGTTAGAACAAAACTTTAAATCACTGAGGTAATTTACGCATTACAACAAGAAAACAAATTATTTAAAAATATTTTTTGTTTTGATTGACATGTGTTGGAATAAGATTATTGTCATTGGTTAATACATTATAGTATTAAATAATTCCTTAAATATTAAATACCTTCGTAATGATTTATGTTTTTGCAATGCGCCTTTTTAGAAAAGAGAAATACATGATAATAAATGGAAATAATTTCATTGACTATGATTTGCTGTTTTTAATGACTGGAGAGCAATTTCATAAACCCCTGAAAAGCAAATTACCCTTCATGGAAAGTCCTGATAACGTCCTTGTTATCAACAATGCTCTGGATGCACATAATGCTCTTCTTAGACTGAAGCACCTTTATCATAAATATAACGATACTAATTGTAAGTAATATATATAATGATATATAAACAGAAAGGCGACCTTAAAATCAGTAAGCTCATTTTTGACAAAACGAAACTTGTTTCGGCATAGGCGTAAAATTTCTACACGTGTTGCATACGATACTTTGTCTATAAGTACACACTTTTTGCTAGTAATAAAACAGTAACAGTACGTTTATTTATCAAATAAATTAGATATTTTCCAGCCAACATCCTATCACAGTCGACAAAAAGATGGAAAAAGAAGATAATTCAAAATGGCTTCATTTTAAAAATATTATCAGTCCTCCTAAATCCTTGAAGGCAGAATTACTCGTAACAACAAGGAAAATAAAACAAATTTAAATAATATATTATAGAAGTGATATGATGGCTCTTACCACGCAGAGTTACATCGCATTGAATTGATCTGGTCACAATTAAAAGGTTATGTTTCTCGAAACAATACAACATTTAAATTACCTGATGTGCGAAATTTGTTTTTGAATGCCGTTTCAGATGTAAATGGAGAATATTGGAGAAAATGCATTTATCATGTTAAAAAAGTGGAAAATTCATTTTGGAAAGTGGATATAGCAATGGAATACTTATAGCCCAAGAGCCCACTGCAAATTTTTACCGTCATCTGATAACGAAATGAAATATACCCCAAAAGCATGTAAAAACATCGTACTTTACCAAATGGCACTTTTGCCAATCCCAATCCTGAGCAAAGTGGCTTAAAAAAATCATTTTATTTTAAAAAAATTACATAAAGCATGACAGCGCTAATTTTGTTTGCCCTTAAAGTTTTCCAGAAAATAACATTCAAACATATCGTAATATATATCGTTATAGGCAAACATTTTTTTCCTCTTAACATCGCACAAAAACATCTATCCACGATTAGTAGGTAAAAATCAATAAAATAATGAATCAATTTTGCTGATTTAAATATTTATTTGTATGCCTATTGTCGTGATTTATTTTTACAGGTTGCCATAAAAACGACAAAAAAAAACTACTATGATTATGGTTTAAAAGAATTGTCTAACAAGAGTTTATAATTATTATTGACTATCTCTGCAAATGGTCTACACAATGTCATTCTTCTTTTTTTCACACATAAACATGGTTTAAAAGGTAGGTAAAAATATTAATAATTTAGATTTAAAAGCCAGGTTCACAAAGAATTAGGGTATCATGTCTTATGTGATTTTTTGAACATAAAATATTTTTTTTTAACCACTTTGCTCAGGATAGGGATTGGCACAGGTGCAATTTGGTAAAGTACAATGTTGTTACATGCCTATGGAGCATATTTCATTTTGTTATCAGATGATGGTCGAAATTTGCAGTGAGCTCTCATACTATTAATAGACCCTTATTTTTATTTTTTGTAAATAATATAACTTTTTAATTTAAAATTTAATCTACGAAGTGCGTATATACCATTTTATATGCCGTAACCTTATTTATATTAGGTATAGAAAATTATTTTGCAAAGTACGCCTATGGAATATGACGTTATATCCTCACTTGTACTGCACTCCTCTTACGTCATTCTTGGACCGGTTTTCTTCCAAGGGTGGCTCCAGAGCAAATTTTTGGAGAGGGCCATTGTTAATAGCCATTCTCTATTTAGCATATTTCCTTTATTAAGGCATGTAAACTATTAGAATTTTAATCTCGGGGAAGCCATAGGAGAGGTTATTTTGGAAACATTTTCTGTAATAAGCATATTAGATGTAAAAGTTGTAGGTACACACCAACAGACGTTTTTACAATAATTATAAAAGAAGGTTGAGGATGAATATGAATTAGACTCAGATAAGCAAATGAAATATAGATAAGTTTTATGGTCTAGATGTATTTACCTAATATACATATACCAATCTCATTTTGTGTTTGTCTTCTTATTCATTTGTATTCTCCGTCTAGGCTTTGTCACTGTTTCCCAGCGCCACTTCAGGAACAGCACTTTTAATTATTAGAACCCAATAGTGAATGGTCGATACACATACTAACGGTATGTTCCTGCGGTTCCTGCGCATACAGCTGACTGACGGTGACGTCACGTGGGACATAGAATAATTAGTATTAAATGGGAGTGTTTGAAATTCGATATTTCGCCGGTTTTAGATTTTATGCAGTTACTATGGCTTTATTGGTTATTTTGTAATACTAATAAAAATATTAATTTTTCTTATAAATTATAGGAATTTTGTGATAAAATCCATAATCTGGCCACAAGATAAATAAAATATATAGAATAAAAATACAAGTTTGGCTCAAATTTGTATTTTTGTGCGTGGTAGTTCTCTTGAAATCCCTTTTCTTATTATATGAAATAAAAATAAGTGTGCAGAAACAAATTATTTTTGTCAAGATTACTTTGAAAATACTCAAAACCAATTTTCCTGTTCATGTATCTTATTCTTTATATATGTTCGTGTCCTGTGCATGCATAGTATTACTTCAAAAAGGACCGTTGTATTGGGATAGGAAACTACTGTTTTATCTGCTAAAATTTTCAAATATCTATTTTCTTTGCTTAATAAGGCCCCATGCACCTGGTGGAATTCAGTTTTCTTTTCTTGCGTCTACGTTTACTACTTTTCTCAAAATGGATAGGGCAACTTCATGCTAAAATAAAAATATTTATGTATTTTTTATTTTAGCAACCTTTCACTGTCTCTAAACCTATTATACTTATGCATTTTACTAACCATTGTTTAAATTAAGTTTGTCCTTTCTTCGATAAGAATTTACCCATATTTTGTGGCATTCGGAAATATCTTACATTACACTATTTTTGGATTTCGTCTTATGGTTTTTGAAAGTCGCCACCACGCAGCCTGTCATTTTAAATATTAATTCAGTTCTTCTCCATTATATATAAGAAAATATAGTCACTACTAACACAAAAATAAATAAATTATTAAATTATTTTACACTATTCAATCGAAAAGTGTCAAAATAACTTAAAAGTTCGTCACGCATTACGTCATGCGCGGTTTGGACGAAATTTGAATCGAAAGTCAGCATACCGTTAATATGTGTATTCGTGCCTATGCATTAGAATTAATATTTAATTTTTTTTTTAATTAAATAAAAATTCCTGTCACCTGTGGGATTCGATCCGGACCTTTCGATCTCAAAGTCATGACCCTAACCACTTAGCCAACCTACATCCTATAGATAAGTTACGGGTGCCGTTTAACATAGGCTTTGTTTCAAGTATGGAGGGTAGAGAAAAGGAGGACAATCTTATATGGATCTTTATATTAAAAAGTTACCACCAAAATGTATACAATTAAGATGGCGCTCGTGTAGCCAGGGGACAACATCCAATGCTTTATAGTCATATAGATTGCTCATTGATAATGAAATCAGACAGGAAGCAGTAAATTGAGACCTCCGTGCCATTTTAATATAAGAATTATTTATTGTTTATATTATTATTTTTCAATAAAATTTGACTATTGTCGTGTATTGTCAAAATTTATCTACGATCACAGAACACTTTCTCTTCTACGATCAGTCACTTTTCACGGTGTAGTTTTTAGTTTTTTATGGTTGAGCAATATTTATTACTATATACATCATTGGTGTCATTGTGTGATCTGAATTATCGACTGTCGACGTCCCCTGGGCACAGAAGCGCCATCTTAATTGTATACATTTTGAGGGACACTTTTTGTATACAGAGATTGTTCTCCTTTCCTCTACCCTCCATAGTTTGAAGCTTAGGATTGAAGCTAGTATCTACTAACTTTTGACAGCTGTGATCTCCATATGCGAATCAAATAGTTTTTCATCAGAATCCAAAGGATTGTTTTGTAAATATTCTGTCAATGACAAATTTAAAAAAAATTCAACTCAAACATAAAATTTTATTTTACAAAAAATAATGTCTGCTATTTTTTATTCAAATGTAATAAATGATATTTATTATAAAACAAAATTAGGTTTCAAATGATTACACTGTTAATAATGTTCATAGGTAGATACCAATGAACTGTATATTTAAAATGGAACAACAATCCCTATTGACAAAAGTAAGCCAAATTGAATTCGCGCATTATGTCACATGAATATTAGGCATTCCAACGATCTGTCCAAATGCTACCCGTGGGAACTGACAGTTTAGATATGGCAACCCTGTGGGCGGGTTGTCATTGACAGGTTCAAAGATACATATATAATTAAATAGATTGCTTTGAGCTCAAAGCGGGTCGTTTGCGAGCGACCATATTATTGCCTGCCAAGTGTTCATTAATTTGAATCGGTTTAGCAAAAATGTGTTTTATAACCAATTTCCAGTCTTTAAATAGTAAAATATAAATAATTATCTACATTTTAACTTCAAGGCATATTCTTATGTTTATTTTAAAAACATGGAAGATCAATCTATGTAACTATCTATATGAGTGATCATGTCAAAACACCAGGTCCACAGTGTTGCCATATTACAACCTATTATGTGCCTGTCATTTCCTACGGGTAGCCATTTTATTTGGAATGCCTAACTGGTAAGATTGCGCACAAAGTACCTTTGCAGGTCCGTTTTAATCATTTCATGTACTTATTTTAAAAATCAGGAGAAATTAATATTTCTGAAACTCAAAAATAAAAAAAGTCCAATTTACTCTTCCGTTATATACCTAAAGGTGATATTCTTACCACTTGAAGTGATAAATTTCAATTTTTTTACCATATACGGGGGATGTCAAAAAATAGGAATTAGGGCAGAGTTACACTTCAAAAAAAAATCGATATGTAATAGATGTTATCATTTATTATTCTAAGAATAAACAAACGTACTATATGCTTTAAAAATAATGTTATAATTGTTAGAGGACATAGTAGATTTTACCATTTTATAGAGTGGAAGAAATCCAGTCAACTGATCTAAATAATTCAAAAATAAAAAAAAATTGTTTGTAAACCAACGATTTTTCTAGGTACAACTTGTGTGTGATAAGATTTTTTATATAACAAGATTTAATAAAGGTTCATCCAAAAATGTATAAACATACAATTAACGCAAAGGATTTAATAATTTAAAAACAATACAAGAATTAAATATAAAAATACAATCATATAAAATAAATAAAAAAATACAATATAAAAGTATCGAAAGTGGTAATTATATAAAAAAAGGATAAAATTGGTTAGTGGTCTATTTTCAAAGAAATATATGGAAATCTTATAGAAACCGAAGTTGCACATAAACTACACTAAAATGACAACATGTATGTCACCAAATTTAAATAATGTTATTTTAATACTAGATACATAGGTAGGTCAACTATTTATGATGCATTTTCGCTTAGGTATGTAATTTTTGGTCTCTTAAATAAATATGTTAGAAGCGAATATTGACTTTATTCTAGATTGAAACTTTATTCTATTTCGCTGAATAAATCGGGGGCTATTCTCTAACCCGCGTTTTTGAAATCACTCAGCGTGTCTCTCTAGAAACGCGACAAATAAGTAACAAAAGTGTAAAGCACAAACGTTTTGGCATTCTCTGCTTGCTTACATATGAGTAGTGTTTTGTTGTTCCCACTTCTAATTTAGACATTTAAGGCTAAGATTTTCGGACGTAGATAAGTCAAACATTAAAATATATATCTGAATATTATGACTTGAATATTGAAATGTCATCAAAAGTATGTTGTTTATTATGTTTTTGATTCCTTATAATTCTGGAATCGGCCTCAATATGTTCTAATAGAGTTTATAGTTATAATGTCAAAATGACATTCAAATACTAACCTTAGATATTTAGACCAATCAGCATTTACGATTTATAATTATTATGACAGCGTACAAAAAAATTAAAATCACTTACGAATATCAAAATCGTCTAGCATTAGAGAATGCCATAATCGCATGCTTGTCGTTTTGGTGATCGAACTTTGTTAAGAAGTCTCTTGACGCTTTCATTGCTATGCGTTTTCAGCTGAAAGTTAGAGAATTACCCCCCTTTGACTTGTCCTAAATTAACATACTTCTCATTAATAAACTTTCAACATGTTTTTAAAGTTTTTGGAATTTTAGATATTTTAACAATCTCCAAAATTATGTACCATAAATATTTTCAAAAAACGGGCATTTTTAAATTTACCTAATATTTTTAGCATAACTTTTTGTCTCTGAATTCAGGCACTTTTATAGATGTCTTCTTTATAAATTATATAGCTTCGAGCAATGTCGATGGAACAACTTGAATTTTATGGTCCAGTATGTGCATATTATAATTATAAATCTCTTCTAGACTTTGTCTTTCACTACATTCAGCAGGCAAATTTTTCCTAAAAAGAGTTATAATAGGTATATTTATCTACAACCACCACAGTATATCGTCTATTAAGCATCGTTTTGTTTATAAGTAAATACATCATTACAGATACTGTTACGTAATGAAATCCCAAAACTGTTACGTAATTATATACCTATATTACAATTTCATTTATCAAACTATCCATATTAATCCGTTGCTAGGTGATCACTATGGTTACGATAAATAGTTTTAAAATTTCAGAAATAGAAAAATCGCTATTTTTGTGGTTACAACATTTTTTTAAAGAATAAAATAATTTCGTTAGATATTAAAAATGAATTTCAAGGAATTCCTCCTGATATTCTCGAAATAGATGCTAATACTACTAATAAGTTACTGCCCTCAAAATCAAGGGCAAGGTATGAAAAAGATTATGGACTGATGTATAAAAAAAACAATATAAACTCTGAGAATATGTTTTTTGGCGTATTTTGGGAAACTTATGGAATAATTCGAACCATCATTATGGGCAATGTATTCTATATCCGTAATCGTCATTTTCATAAAAAATAAAGTGAATATTGAAGCGTACCCAAAATTAAAAGCATACCTCAAAAAGCAATCAGATGTTTTTAAAAGCAGATTTTTTTGATGAAATAAGTAAATATTTGAATGAAACTCTTGATTCACAATACTATTAACAAAGGTTTGGATCTAAATAATTTTTCTTCAGTTAATTTAGTGTTTGCATTTGCAATTTGTATTATTTTTAATTAAATGTATTGTGATGTTTGTTTATTTTAAACAACAGTTTATTTATTAATAATTTACACTTATTTATTTTATAACACTACTATTTCTAATTTATATATATTTCGAATGTCTTTGAATCGTTCACTATTTATATTCACAGTCCAATACTTTATTGTCAGCTGTCTATATATCACTGATACAGCGATATTCTCCACCAATATTTACGAGTATATACCAATTTAAAATTATGGCGAAGGCTCCAGAACGTTCTCGCCAAAAATTAGAAACACTATCACGTTATATTTGGAATACACTAGAAACATTATCCCGTTCTTTCTTGAATAGTAATCGAAAGCACCTCCGCCATAGTCGTCACATATGTTTGATCTTAAGGGGTTTAATTATGTATAATAATCGGACAAAATGAGCCTCAAAGGCCAAATAAGACAGAGAGGGACTTGGATGATTAGAGCATGACTGAATAATGAAATGGCTCACATTTAATAAATGTTATAGATTATAAAAGATTTCTCGTTATTATGAATGTATGATTGTGGTTGTAGATAAAGTATAGTATATTACTCGAGTTGTAAGAGCAATTACCTTCTCGTAGAATTACTTTTCTACTCGCATGTAATTAGCTTCCTACTACTCTTGATATGTAATATACTATTACAATACAATGATTCTATAAATATAATTCATTTCATTGCTAATTGTCAGAAGATACAAGAAACTCTTTAGTAGTATATATTTTCATAAAATTTTTTCTTTCAAGAAAGCACTAAGATTTATTTTACTTTGTCAAGGAGGATACATAATAGCATTATTTTTTTAAATTTAATCTCTATCTTAAAAATGTATGAATAATTTGCATTAGGTATTGTATTACATAATATTATTATAATTTACTTGAAGACGAACCGAGTTGAGAATTGAATAAAATACGAATTGCATCCAGCTTTAAATTCGTCTTTCCTGGCAGAATTCATAACACAATCAGAATTTATCAAATGTAACCAATATATTTTATTGTTTTTGTTAATTCTATCAACGTTCCTAATTCTAGGTTTTGAACCTTAATTTCCATTGCTTCAGTTTGTAGGAAACCTGCATAAAAAATTACTGATTATTCTACAATATACGTGTATCGCACTGTACCGCCCATGATTATTATTTACTTACCTTTGAAACGACGTGGAACTTCTCCAAATGTATGTTTTAAGGCAAATAAACATTACAAAAAGCTATAAACTCTAAAAACTTTAAAAATATGTCCTGGGAATATAAAATCACACAAAATGTACAAACAAAACTGACAGTTCCCAAGTGCTTGTTGACAGTAGTGATAAAATTTTGGCGTTGCTATTTAAAATAGACGAATCACATCAAAGACCCAGCAGAAAGAAAAAGTAATAGAAAAAATTGTTCATAATGGCTTCAAACAGATCCAGGCCGTTAGTTATTCATTTGTTTTATCTGAGGAATTAGGCATTATAATGATCTGTCAAACAATAGCTGCTGGTGGGAAGGGTTTTTATTTTTATTCGAAATAGTAGTCACCAAGCCTGCCTATTTATGAAAATAATATTTTCATTGTGTTCGACATAAAATATTTAAATTTAATCCATTATTCATGATTTCACGTAATGTAGATAGATTATATCTCATGTCACAACCCTTTAAACATACCAAACCTCACCAACAGTTTGTTTGTTTGGAATGCTTAATTAAGTGATCCACAATTTTTTTTTAAAGTAGACTATGACCGACAAAAACGGAGATACAAGTCATGTGTCATGTCTATGATAACTACGCAATTAAATCCAAACTGTCACGTAAAAAAAAATTGTAAGCTCCGAAATTGCGTTAAATTTTCTCATGCCCATTTTAGAAACATTTTTAGTGGATCGCTTCACATATTACCTAGCAACGTAGTATTTAAATCTACATATACTCTGCTTCACGATATCAATATAGCATAATTTATTTTACATAGAAACAATGCCCGAAATTCATTAAATGTTGTAGAAATGAGCAAAAATAAAATAACTGCTTGCATTTTAAAGTTTTTTTTTTTACAAACGGTCACTTTAGCATCCCTTCATTTAAGTTATTTGTTTTCATTGATCCCTATTTATCCATAATATATGATTTTAATTGGGTATTATTTATTCAATTATATTATACGATAAAATGAAAAAGTGACCTCACGTATTTGTAGTGCAACCTGTTGGGAAAACTTCACATGTTATCCCTCGTTACAATAGTACACTATTTATTTCCTAAACATCTAATCTTGTCAGAAATAAACTTGGTAATTTTACGGTCGTCTCTAATAATTGTTTTGATTTTATTTTTCGGTAAAAGTGCATTTCATTGATTTTTCCAGATATAATAATCGTATATGGCCATTTTCTTCAAGCACACGCCACCTTGAATGGTCTTATAAACTACGGTATTCCTGGATCTCATTTGGTGCTCATAGAACCTTTTCCGTACGTCATGGCTTTGGAAAAAAGGCAAAGGCATAATGTTTCTATTTACAATGATCCTGAAATAGATATGGCTGTTTATGAACACTTTAGAAACGAGGGAATTAAAGTAAGATAAAATTAAAGAGTGATCCTCTAAAAATGATGCTAAAGTAGACCATGACCAACAAAGAAGAGGTACGGGTCATCGTAATAATTAAATCAAAACTGACACTTGAAAAGAAGATGTAAACGTTTCGATATACGTGAATTTTTCCAATGCCTACTTTAGAAACATTTTTTGTGAATCACTCCATAATACCTAGTCGGTACTACATTATCGTATATTCGACCGAAAACGCTTTCATTAATTGATGAATTTTGATATTGGAACATGGACCCTTAAATTGCTCAATTCAAAATTTGCCATACTTAAATTAAAAATGCCTATAATAGCTATTTATCTAACCAGTTACGAAATGCCTTATTTTGTGTAATGAGTAGATAAAATGAACGAGTTACACAAAACGGCATTTCGTAACGTGTTACATACAAGATTTTTTTCTAATTTTGACTTGATTATTTATAAAATTGTCTTTGATAAAAAATAATTCACAATCATTCTTTTGTAGATAGGTACTTGCAATCAAATATTTTAAAAAATTGTTGTATTTGATTGCCCTTTAACTTTTTTTTTCAATCGTAATAAAAAAAAATCCCATATGGGATTAACGCACACACTATATATTCTTCCAACTTGGAGCGATTGGGGACAGTTTGAAATAACAAGTGACATTTGTAACTTGCGAAACGGTTTTCATTTTTCTCTTATGCCTTGAATAGCACCATCTATTTTCATAAGGGAATAAGGGCATGAATTCCCTTTATAATTTAACTCGATTTTTTTTCAGTTTCCAGCATGTCATTTTGTCTTGTTATGACTTCAATGTCATTAATTACTACTATAATTATTATATCAGTGACAAAGTCCACTGGGTAATAAAATATCGTCCATCCCTATTTTTATTGTTTTGTTATTTTTTTATTTCTTATATTTTTAATTGTTTTAGTTAAAATAGTAAGAAACTTTTATGAAGCTAAAATGAACAGTGTTGCAGAAATTTGCTTTTAAACAAAAATCTGCATGTACTTAGATAATTTGTAATGACTCAATATTTCTAAATTCTAATCTAGTAAGCACGTGTCAATTTTTAAATAGTTCGTGTGTACAAGATCCTGGTAGATCACATTAGACAAAAATATTTAAAGACATTTCATGTTCTGAATTTTGATTTAAAACTTTTAACATCCTGTATCTTGGCAACTAAGCTCTTTAAGGGCTCATGTTCCTATATCAAAATTAATTAATTAACCAGAGCTCTCTGTGGTAGAGCGTTGTATAATGGTCACAATTGCCGTTCGTCACGATTACCTTCATTGAACGATAATGGTTGGCTGTTTTATAAATGATACTGTTACACAAACTAAAAGGACGCTTTCTATTATTTTCACTCCAGTAGGACCTTTTCTTAAATTCGATTATTTTCAATGCCATTTTGAATTTTTAAAAACTGATTTAGAATCTGTTATTTCTCAGATATTAATTTTAGTCGAAATCTGCCGACTTTTAAAAATAAATTATTTTTAAACTGTTCACTCTGTATATAACTGACCGAAAGTATAACTGGTTTTCAGCCAGAAAGGAACCTTATCTGATATAAAATTTGAAGTTTTTCTATAAAACCGTTTTTGAGATCACGCCAACAGACAGACGACGACAGACAGACCGACGGAATGGGGAAACATGTACTTTTTTCTTATCGAGGGAAGTAAAAGTAAACAACGCCAGTGCAAAAATTATATTGTTCCTGTTCAATTAATACGTAAATACTAAAAGTAAATCTGCCTAGGTATGGGCCGGATTGTCGATAACACGGTAACAAATAAATATATAAGAGCATCTTTGTCACCTATAAAAAGAATTTTAGGTGGGCTGGTCTTTTGATAGATTATAGAATAATGGTCTAAGATCCGAAGTAAGGTCGACCTTCACCTTTCTTTTTAATGGATGAAAGTTTCTTTTTATTAAATAAAATATGTTTATAAATATGCCTAATAAAATACGGTCCAGACTATTTATTTTATTAAAGTAAAAAAACGACACTCTGTAAAGTATTCCCCAGAAGCTTCGACTATGCCCAAACTTTAATCAGCTCTCCGAAAGATGGATTAAAGCTTAAGTTTAAAATTTGGTGTTTTTTTCTTCTCCGTTTTTGAGTTATCTTCCAAATTCGAAATTTGTACTTTTCCTCGAATATCTCGAATTAGGTCCACTTTAAGGGAAATCATGTATAGGAACAAAATAATAGAGAATGGCATCATAAGCAACTTTTATCATCATTCCTATACTTTTCTTATCTGTACACTGAAGGGAAAGTAAAAAATGGCCGTGACCATATTTTCTCAGGCAACCCATTTGCGGTATTTTTAGAAACGTATTTTATTTAATAAAAAAGACTTTTATTCATTAAACAGATCGGTGAAGGTCGACCTTACTTACGGATCCTGGACTATAAGTAGTTACACAGGATTTCTTTTCTTATTGAAGCTAGGATTTTTAAATCATATTGAGTTGAATTTTTTATTATTTTCTTTATCCTTTTAGTAATATAAATATAAAGTACCATACAGTTTTGTCATTGCTAACTTTTTGCCAGATACCATTTTAGTACTTAATTAAAAAAATATATTTTCAAACTATATTATGTTATCAAAGAATCTAAAATTAATTTGCCATATAAAATGTCATTAATCGTGTTTGTCATGCAGAAATTCAGTTTATAAATAAGAAGTCGAGACAATAGGCGGTTTTGCGGTTCGTAGACACCACGGGCACAGCATATACCGGGTGTTACAGTGTTACAGTTAAATACCGCCTTTTATAAAAAAATGTTTTGGCTAAAATCTTTTTTTATAGCTAACCATAATATGGTATGGTTTTTCCGATTAGATGTGACAACTGACAGCTGGATTGCGGGAATTAATCAGAATTAAGGAGTTAATTAATTATTTAATTGTTTTTTGGTGGAAAAAATCGAAAAAATAAGCTTTTAAAAATATATACGTCCAAATTAAAGTACCTAGGTAAATTTAAATAAAATTATCGACACAAATTTTAATCCAAAATGTCAACTGTTATTTATTTCTACGCTCAACCATAAATAAATCGAATCCAACACAAGGCGTTCAAGGTCGCATCGGTGAAAGAACGATTCCAACAAACCGGTGGAAAAAAAGACATACGAACGTTTGACAGCTGTAATCTCCACGTAAAATCATTAGAGAATAGATTTTGTTTGAAATATTTATGACCTATCATTGCAACTACTAAAAAAACTAATTTTAAAAACTACTTGTTATTTTTTTTTGTAGATTTATTCGTCCTTTTACTTCATAGAATGGAGTTATGAACCCGAAAATAATGTAATAACGAGAGTCAAATTTGAATCAAAACACAAAATGTTGGAACTCGAATGCATGGCCTTCTTTTATTTCCACGAAAAGGAAATCAGTCCGAGAATATTTAGAGTAATTAATAATGCAGGACTGGTGTACGATGGTAAAGAAAAATTAACCATGTTACAAGGCACAAGGGCTGATCCTTAACTCCGATCCTATATCTTAAATACGTTTCTAATTTCTCCCTTTACAATTATTATTGATGGTACCTCCTTGTTTCACATTTTTATACGTTTGAAACTGCGAATAGTGATTTTTAAAGTATCTGTAAATCGTTCATGCACAAATGATATACCACAGGTCCTTTATTTTATTTCTCCTTGGTCTCCAATCATGCTTCCAAGCATATCAATTGGTATTGAACCAAATATTGACAAATTAAATGATTAAAACTTGAGTGTATTTCATTGAACGGTAACTAATACGACCATGGCGAAAGCAAAAAGGAAACATATACTTACGTATCGGTAAATCGTAAATCGTAAATCGTAAATCGTAAATCGTAAATCGTAAATCGTAAATCGTAAATCGTAAATCGTAAATCGTAAATCGTAAATCGTAAATCGTAAATCGTAAATCGTAAATCGTAAATCGTAAATCGTAAATCGTAAATCGTAAATCGTAAATCGTAAATCGTAAATCGTAAATCGTAAATCGTAAATCGTAAATCGTAAATCGTAAATCGTAAATCGTAAATCGTAAATCGTAAATCGTAAATCGTAAATCGTAAATCGTAAATCGTAAATCGTAAATCGTAAATCGTAAATCGTAAATCGTAAATCGTAAATCGTAAATCGTAAATCGTAAATCGTAAATCGTAAATCGTAAATCGTAAATCGTAAATCGTAAATCGTAAATCGTAAATCGTAAATCGTAAATCGTAAATCGTAAATCGTAAATCGTAAATCGTAAATCGTAAATCGTAAATCGTAAATCGTAAATCGTAAATCGTAAATCGTAAATCGTAAATCGTAAATCGTAAATCGTAAATCGTAAATCGTAAATCGTAAATCGTAAATCGTAAATCGTAAATCGTAAATCGTAAATCGTAAATCGTAAATCGTAAATCGTAAATCGTAAATCGTAAATCGTAAATCGTAAATCGTAAATCGTAAATCGTAAATCGTAAATCGTAAATCGTAAATCGTAAATCGTAAATCGTAAATCGTAAATCGTAAATCGTAAATCGTAAATCGTAAATCGTAAATCGTAAATCGTAAATCGTAAATCGTAAATCGTAAATCGTAAATCGTAAATCGTAAATCGTAAATCGTAAATCGTAAATCGTAAATCGTAAATCGTAAATCGTAAATCGTAAATCGTAAATCGTAAATCGTAAATCGTAAATCGTAAATCGTAAATCGTAAATCGTAAATCGTAAATCGTAAATCGTAAATCGTAAATCGTAAATCGTAAATCGTAAATCGTAAATCGTAAATCGTAAATCGTAAATCGTAAATCGTAAATCGTAAATCGTAAATCGTAAATCGTAAATCGTAAATCGTAAATCGTAAATCGTAAATCGTAAATCGTAAATCGTAAATCGTAAATCGTAAATCGTAAATCGTAAATCGTAAATCGTAAATCGTAAATCGTAAATCGTAAATCGTAAATCGTAAATCGTAAATCGTAAATCGTAAATCGTAAATCGTAAATCGTAAATCGTAAATCGTAAATCGTAAATCGTAAATCGTAAATCGTAAATCGTAAATCGTAAATCGTAAATCGTAAATCGTAAATCGTAAATCGTAAATCGTAAATCGTAAATCGTAAATCGTAAATCGTAAATCGTAAATCGTAAATCGTAAATCGTAAATCGTAAATCGTAAATCGTAAATCGTAAATCGTAAATCGTAAATCGTAAATCGTAAATCGTAAATCGTAAATCGTAAATCGTAAATCGTAAATCGTAAATCGTAAATCGTAAATCGTAAATCGTAAATCGTAAATCGTAAATCGTAAATCGTAAATCGTAAATCGTAAATCGTAAATCGTAAATCGTAAATCGTAAATCGTAAATCGTAAATCGTAAATCGTAAATCGTAAATCGTAAATCGTAAATCGTAAATCGTAAATCGTAAATCGTAAATCGTAAATCGTAAATCGTAAATCGTAAATCGTAAATCGTAAATCGTAAATCGTAAATCGTAAATCGTAAATCGTAAATCGTAAATCGTAAATCGTAAATCGTAAATCGTAAATCGTAAATCGTAAATCGTAAATCGTAAATCGTAAATCGTAAATCGTAAATCGTAAATCGTAAATCGTAAATCGTAAATCGTAAATCGTAAATCGTAAATCGTAAATCGTAAATCGTAAATCGTAAATCGTAAATCGTAAATCGTAAATCGTAAATCGTAAATCGTAAATCGTAAATCGTAAATCGTAAATCGTAAATCGTAAATCGTAAATCGTAAATCGTAAATCGTAAATCGTAAATCGTAAATCGTAAATCGTAAATCGTAAATCGTAAATCGTAAATCGTAAATCGTAAATCGTAAATCGTAAATCGTAAATCGTAAATCGTAAATCGTAAATCGTAAATCGTAAATCGTAAATCGTAAATCGTAAATCGTAAATCGTAAATCGTAAATCGTAAATCGTAAATCGTAAATCGTAAATCGTAAATCGTAAATCGTAAATCGTAAATCGTAAATCGTAAATCGTAAATCGTAAATCGTAAATCGTAAATCGTAAATCGTAAATCGTAAATCGTAAATCGTAAATCGTAAATCGTAAATCGTAAATCGTAAATCGTAAATCGTAAATCGTAAATCGTAAATCGTAAATCGTAAATCGTAAATCGTAAATCGTAAATCGTAAATCGTAAATCGTAAATCGTAAATCGTAAATCGTAAATCGTAAATCGTAAATCGTAAATCGTAAATCGTAAATCGTAAATCGTAAATCGTAAATCGTAAATCGTAAATCGTAAATCGTAAATCGTAAATCGTAAATCGTAAATCGTAAATCGTAAATCGTAAATCGTAAATCGTAAATCGTAAATCGTAAATCGTAAATCGTAAATCGTAAATCGTAAATCGTAAATCGTAAATCGTAAATCGTAAATCGTAAATCGTAAATCGTAAATCGTAAATCGTAAATCGTAAATCGTAAATCGTAAATCGTAAATCGTAAATCGTAAATCGTAAATCGTAAATCGTAAATCGTAAATCGTGAATCGTGAATCGTAAATCGTAAATCGTATCAGTAGCTTTGGATATTGTTTGATAATATTCTAAGAAGCGGGAAACACTAGAAGAAATTTTCATGCATTATAAATCCAGAATATTGTTTAGACAGCGTAATAAAAATGTATTAAAGTTGAGCGTGGCTAAGGATCAACCATGATACACACAAAAATAAATCTTTAATTGCTAGTTCTTTGTATTTATATATTCTGATGTCCTAAGCCTAACAATAAACTTCCAGCTTCAGCTTTTATAGCAAACCTACTTTCAGTAATTATAAAATTAAAAGATATTAATATCATGTAGATACTAGTGAGAGTATAATTCACACAAAAAAATGTCGATAATAAGCGTACCACTTACCTTTGAAAATGATGATTTTTATAGGCAGACTTGTAATAGACTCAAATTGCAAAACAAACGACCCCAATATTTACGGCGCTGGAACTTTGACGAAATATTCGAGAAAATATTATTCGCCAAATAGTACCCACAAATATTATAGTCGAATAGAAATCGGCAGGCGTTTAGGATTTCAAATAAGAGAAATGTTAATACAACAAAAAGTAAGTATAATCAACAAACAAGCTTTCCTTCAAAAGGCAATTTTTGTAGGCGCATTAACGTTGCTTGCTCTGTGATTATGCAAGTTTTTCTACTTTGGTATCAGCTTCGTTTTCTATACTTCACTAAAAACCTTATTTTTACTTATTTTAGATGCGTAAATGGGACCAGGAGGCATCAGCTGGATGGAATTTGCGCATTGAAAGAGGTGAATTGCTGGTGCCGAGGTACGCTGAACCTATTATGAGGTACTGTAGACTTCCAGGTGGTCTCTATTATTTGTCTATCGTGAAACCGGGTAAACAAATACCTTTGGAAACTGCTGTTTGTATGGAAAACTACGTAAGCATCTAAAGTTATTTTTCTTCTCATTTTATTACAGGGAATTCGTCGTTTATTATATATTATATATTATTGCCTAATTTATTTTGCCAAAATTTTAATTTAAAAAAAATTACTTTTTGAGATATGCTTGTCCGAAAATTATAAGGGGGTGCTGTAATCACCTTAAGTACTTAATATTTAAAAAAAAACTAATTCAGGGGAGTCCGTTATAGGACCGTATCTCCGTTTTGGGGACGTAGAAAAAAAAGTATAAAGGATATTAATGTTGTATATTAATCCGAGAGATTGCTAAGATAATCTGGAACACGGTGTATAATATACCATAATTTTCTTTTCTTTTTATGCACCTATTGACGAAAGTTTTACATTACTTAAAGCCAATTTTAATACATATTTTAGGGAGAATTGCTGGTTACTGGAAATTGTAGAAATTTAAGCAAACAAGGGTATTTTCAATTGCATCTAAACGAATATAAAAGAGTGGAAACCATAACATGTTTACACAAACAGGTAAGAACTTATTTAGAAAAATATATTTTTATAGTTCCGGAGTTAGGTACGCATCCTCTTCTTTCCTAGTCCAAGGTTTCAACACGTCTACTTTTTTATAAAACAATAATAAGTAATGTCACATCTTCAATAGCGTCATCTAGTGATCTTGTGTAAAAATTCAAGAAGACGGCCCTCGCAATATTTCATAGATTTTAAATTTAAATTCATTTGTAGCCTATAGATTACATCAATATCTATTGCCTTTGGGGAAAACATGAAAAACTATTAAACAATTTGACTTTAAGGTTTGAAATGGTCCTAATTACAGACCTTTTCGAATATTTTAAAGAACCCTGGGCTTATGCTATTTATCATGAAAAATTCAGCCAACTCATGGATGAACTCAACTTGCTGATGACTTCTTATATGGTAAGATAATCATTTAAATTTATACAATATATAAAATGAAGAAAGGGTTATTTTTAAAATTATTGATGTTTTTCATTTATGTAGATTAGAGTGATATTTGAGTAAAAACTGCAGCACGTTCAAATTTAATGAAGCGTTTGAGCTCCTCTAACTCGTAAAATTTCTGACATTTAGAATATACTTCCCATTATTCCAAGAAGAGTTCTTCCACTTGCTGAAAGTTTCACATTGACTCTTGATCCTTCAACAAGTGTGTTTCAAACGTGTTCGATTTCATTGTCATTATGTATATATTGTTATATTGAGTAAATGTTGCATTATTCTGACGATGTTCTCGTTGTAGAATAAATTCTGATTGAATGATATTATGTCGTTCTAGGACTTTGAACTACACATGTCGTGTCATCAAAGCTCCCTTACGAATCGTCGCCAACTTAGTTTGCCCATTCAAAGATATCCCACTCGAAACCATGATTGAGAATTAATTTCTTTTACAGTGCAATCTAAATTACGGTCATCTGGGTCTAGGCGGTTAGAAATCATTCATCAACGTAAGACAAAATCACGTTACTCCAATTGCCTGGTTCTAATTCTCTTGCAAATAACATTCTTTCTCTACGATACACTGGTTTATTATTAATATACTTTAGCTGGTTTTTTACATGAAACCGACATTGCTGAAGCCGATTGGGTCTCGTTTGTGTACTTATCCCAGTTCTTGTGTCCTAGAGCAGAGATAGAAGTTGAAAAGGCTTTTGGTAGGTGGAGAGAAGGTTAGTCAAACCCCGTCGGACGACTTCGGTAATTTTTATTCGCCAGTGTCGAATAAAAATTATACCAAACAACAATCAAAAACCAGTCACTGACACCAGGATTCTGCGCGGTAGATTATTTGGACTGCCAAATCGTATACTGCGCAGAATCCTGGTATCAGTGACTGGTTTCTGATCGTTGTTAGAATAGACCCATGATTGTGTAAAAACACATAAGTCATTAACAAAGCATAAAGATGTTAGTAATGAGTGTGTATATGCACATTGCACATTACTCGAAGAGCTGCGTTATGTGGTGGGTATAATAATATGTCAGTTATGTGGTTTCACTCTTCTTAACTTATGTACTTATTCCCTCTATACGCAGAATTGTTACCGGTGGAATCGGCGAGTAATCGTATCTATTTATGGGTTAAAAATAATAACTTAAGCAATTAATAATATCCCTAATTTATTGAACAATTTACGTAAAATTGTTATTAGCATCTATGAAATAATTTTCTACGCCAATGTTTCGCGTTCAGTTGGTTTAGCTCAGCGGCAAAACTATAAAATCCAGTGCATGAAATGAGACAACTGCTAAAAGCCTTTACAACGTCTGTCCCTGCTCTATATTAGCTGATTTTTGGGAATTGTAGCTTGTACCAGTAGATCAGCGTAGCTTGATAACACAAGGAAACGTTCATTGCCCTATCTCGTATCTACCATTTATCATGAAACACCAGAAATCAAAAGGTACAACGAGTCACTAAGGAATTCAGTAGATGGAGAAATAAAAAACTAAAATCTCCAACTCCAAATAATATACAGACATAACCAAAATAATATACATTTATCACGATAATTGGAACCCATGTACTACAAGTGTCTAGAACTTAGATGCACAGCTATAGAAGGAAAGAGCACTTCATGAAGAAGAAGAAAAGACCTAGATGCGGATTTTGTGAAAAAAAAAATACTAATTGATTGACAGAAGATTGCAATTTTTCAACCTTTTAGGCATCCCTCTGCTCCCTCCGCTCCCTCCTGAGAGGTTCCAGTAAAGTCCTCTCAATCAGGCTTGAGTCCAGCCACTGGCTCCCCTCAATCAAACTTGTGGTACAGCTTGCCTTTCTTCCTCTAGGGTTCGCATGATTTATTGTGCCACTATTTGGATGCCCTTCTCCTTCAGACACATTCAGTTCATGCATTCTACGGTCTAAGTGGGCTCCGAGATGTGGAGGTTAGGTCACCCACTCAAGCCGTAACCAGAACCATGCTGCTGGGGACTTGTGATCGATGTGTTGAATACCTTTCACAGCAGCCAGCGCCCCGACAGAAGCAAGTCTTACAACCAGGATTAAAGTCAATTTTAAGCGATTAACCAACAGCATTTGCTATTTACCATTTGAGATCGGTAATTACCACAACATTCAAGAGACTTCGGTTATCAATTTGATAATATATCCCTGACGTTATAAATTATGTGTTTTGCGTCACAGTTACAACCAAAATTTTGTGATAATTGCCTACCTCCAGAGTTGGTTTTATTTATTGATTATACGAGTAGATAATTGACAGTTACATCTGTAGTGAGTGTTTTGTAGATACCAGTAGTAGGTATAGGTACATTATACCCAATTTCAAGCCTTTTTGAACATTCAATATTATCAAAAGTGTATAAAAAAAATGAGAGATGAATATTGGCTGATTATAAATTGCGAACGGAAAGTTTTCAATTACCAATTTCTTCTTTGAATCCGTTATTTCTTGTAGGGCAATAAACAATATCATTTAAATAAAAATGTATTACATTAAAACATAAACACGGGGAAAAAGATAGGTTATATTAAATTGTCATTTTAAAATAAACAAACTTACAACCACGGTAATTACCACTTCGTTCAAGTAATGACCTCTTGTGACGTCAGTACCTTTTCTATAAATTCACGTGATAACCAAGAAATGTTGTGGTAAATACTAAGAAAATTTGGTAATTCCCTTAAAATTGCTTTAAATATTGGTCCTGTGGGTCAATGTTCAGTTCAACCGGAGGCGTCTGAGACATTTATTATTTGTATGTTTAAAAATAATGATTCATCAATTTCTTTTATTTACAGGGCTCAGGTGAAGAATCATTAATTAATGAACTTATTATTCTTTATAAGAAGAGTAGATGGCGTAATGTAAGTATAAATGTTCATATTTTGATAATTTTTAAAATTCTATATAAATTTATCCGGCAAATAAAATTAAGTTTTTTTTTTTTCGTTTTCAATAATTTAATCTTCGTGAATCCTTTTGAACTACCCCCAAAATGGTGCACTCAAATCTCCACCATTTTTTGTAAATTATTTATGTGGAAGTTTTGGCTTATATTTTAAAAAGTAACTTCAGTGCTTAAATGATTACTACAAATATTTTTGTAAACAATTTTGTTTTGTATGTCGGTGTAATTTTAGTAAGAAGACATTTGCTTCTTAACAAAAATCTTCATGTAGATACTTGGTAATTTGTAACGACTCAATATTTCTAAATTCTAATCTAGTAAGCACGTGTTAAAATTATAATACTTCGTGTATTTGACAAGATCTTGTTAGATTAAATTTAAAAAAATATTTTAAGACATTTTTGATTTATGGCAAATTTTGATTTTTAATTTCACTAACACCTGTATCTCAGTAAGTAAGCTATTTAAAGGTCCTAGTCCCTATATTAAAATTAATCAATTAACGAGAGCTTCCTGTGATAGAGCATTGTCGGTCGAATATACCAACACCTGTATATGATTTGGTATTTTTCTAATCTACCAAAGTAGTAAGAGCTCTGTATGTCTCGCAATGTTATATACACTCCCCGGCCCAAAATTCCGCCACCCTAAATTTTTTATCAATTTTGTTTCAAATTGTTATTTTTTTAAATTATTGTAATAAGTAACATTTTTCGTGTAGCCAATATAATACAGGATAAATCAAAATGTTGTTTTTGTCGCAACTTCAAAATAACTTGTAGCAAAATTGGGGTAGATAATTCAAATAAAGATGTGAATGTGCTAAATTAGTGATGACATAATTATTGTTCCACTAACAATTATGTGTGATGGTATTTTTTAAGTGCGTTTGGTTCGTTTTGTTTGTTTTGTTCGTTTTGTTTACCTAAATTATATTGTTTTTAAACTTTTATAAATATATTCCTAGATTAAGTAGATAAAATGCATCAAGTATTTATTTACCTAAATTATATTGTTTTTAAACTTTTATAAATATATTCCTAGATTAAGTAGATAAAATGCATCAAGTATTTAATAATTTACTAACTACATACCTTTAAACTACTCTTTTTAACCTGCAATTAATATTTATTTAAAAACTAAAAAACAATAAAAATGTACATGTCAAATATTGTTATAAGTATGGTTATAATTAAGAGCTATTGTACTGCTCACAAATTCAATTGAAATGTGTGAAATTCGAGTATTTGGTTTTCATTCTAGACAGCACAATAATTAATACATTTTATAGATTTTTTTTCACCAAAAGATAAAGGATTGAACTATCATCCTACAGAAGTTTTTAATAAAAATATATAAGGTTCAGTCAGACAAAAATCCAAAAGTTCAATAAAATTGATAAAATAACCTAACTTTACCTCACAAATTAGTACCTATATTAAAAATGCATTATTTTTCAAACAAGACGATATAAATGTAGTTCCATCTTTTCTCAACCTAATAAAAATTTAAATTTTAAAATTAGATTTGAAATAAAGATGCAATGATTAAAATATGAAAAGATTCTTATCCACAGAAATATCATAAAACTGGAAAATTAGACCCTCTTCTCCGGCGATTCTGATTTCGTCAATGCACCGTTCGGGTGTAATTCGGTTTCAATCGACTAATGCCAGGCATTTTTGCATTGTTATCAGTGTCGGACTGAGCAGTACCACTGCGTCAATTAATCTATATTAGAACAGAAACTTTCATTTAAATATTTGATAGATAAAAATTGTAATATTACATTTCTAAACACAGTTTGGAAAAAGATATATTCGCTCTGTTTACTATTACAATCGAAAGGTGAGAATTTCTAGAATTTGCTTTTTATTTTATAAGGCACAAAATGAATATATTTTATTATTTTTAAAGGAGGTGGAATTATACGAATGCGTGGAAGTTCCGCAATGGATTTTTTTTTTAATTTAAAAATCAGTGGTGTACAGGAGGACTACTAGGACCTCCAAATGACCCTTGTCACAGGCTGAACACGAAGAGAATCTCTTGGAAGATTTTTAAAGTGAATTCATTCTTGCTAGTCCAGGATTTGTGAAGTTAATAAAACTTACTTAGACTTACTATTAGCTACTATTTTGATCATAGATAAAATATTATCAATATTATTTTAATTATGATTTAATTACTGCATATAACCCGAGAATACCGATCAAGGAGAAGCGACAGTAGCTGTCGGTGCCTTTGATATCGGATGGACCTTTTTCACAGTATGATTTTGACTGATACACAACTTAGCACGCTGAGAAAACATGCTTATTTTCTACACTGAGCGAAATAGTTTGGCAAATTATCTGAAACATTGTTATAGTCCATGCGCAAATTATGTTATGTAATTTAATTACATTGAAGTAGTTAGGGTTAATAGCAATGGTGAAATTTCAGCACCAAAATATAATGCATTATATAATAATTACTTATTTGTTATAAAAGTAAAAGACGTTTATTATTTTATAATTAATTTATATAATTTGTTTAATATTTGGTTTATTTATATATTTATTGATAAAGTAATTCACAAATTAAGTGATACTAAATGGTTGGATATGACATGTAGAAGAAGACTTCATATGGCTACTCTGTTTCACAAAATAATTTTTGTCTATGGCTGGCACTGTATGCCAGCTCTATTTTGCAGTGTTACATTAGGTGTTTTTTTACAATTATATTTTTTTGTTCCATATTCTGTGTAAGCTGCAAATAAATGAATTTATTATTATTATTATTGTAAAAAATGTAATAAAAGCCCCATATTTAAATTAAATCACCTTTTCCTTAAGTAAAAATAAGGTAAATAAAATTAAGGGTACCAAAAAAAATTTAGGGTAACAATTAAAAAGACATTAAGTTTGAGAGGTTTAACTAAATATTTGCAATGTGCATATATTTTCAAAGCTTTTAGGTTTAAAAAGTACTTACATATTTTTAGAATTTCTGGATTCATATTATATTAAAAAGACTTTCAAGTTTATTACTCATTTCTGTAAAAACAAGTGTTTTCTCGCAAAGATAAGCCAGATGTCATTTAAGGTTTATGTATTTAGAGTTAAATCCCTGGCCTGGCTATCACCCAGACAATACAAATATGTCCATTGGACATCGTCCATTCGATATATAATGAGTTTTTTCTGGACTTCCGACATCCAATGGACGTTTAGTGAAGTATAAAAATGGCACACTTTTGACCATTCAGAGGACGTCCAATTCTGGAATATATTTGGACGTCGAATACTGGACATTCAATTAAAGATCGCTTGACCTGAGCAGGAATCGTACTCACGACACATCCATTTTTTATTGTTTACTAGATATAGTTATAATGGAATAAGATTTCAAACTTTCGGTGATAGAATGAAATGCAATAGATTCAATTTGTCAATTTTTAATAACCAATTATATTAAAAAAAGGAAGTGTATATAGATGGGAATTAGGCTTAATAAATAATGACCTAAGATGGACGTCCGCTGGACGTCAAAATACTACTAAACTTAAAATTAAGTCCAAAAACAGATGTTCTCTGGGTATCGATATTCAGCTGTCAAATTAATTAGCATAAACGGACGTACACTGGATGCCCGGATATGGACATCCTGACCCTCAAATGGATCTAAAATGTACGTCCATTGGACTATGTGTGCTGTCTGGGCATAGACGAATTTTTAGAAATAGTACTTATTTAAGTATGTACCAATCTTTCCAAAATTAACTCCAGTATGATTCATTCAATAATTATTATAAATATGAATGGGCAAAACATCTTTATATTGACATAATTGTAACTTACAATTTAGCCATAATAAGGAGATTTCGCCCATTTTGACAAATCCTAATTGAAACACGCGGATTTATTATATATTTTTTTAAAATATAATTTCAAAATAAAATAAACAAAATCTGCAGTTCATTCTTTATTAAATTTATTTAAAAGAAGACAAACATATATTTCAGAAAATTCAATGCCTACATATGAAAAATAAAATGTCAAAAATGATTAAATCATTATACTTAATATTTATACATGTGATAAAATTCTTAGTTTCCTACTAACTTTTTTGGCACATTTTATATCTGTATTAGAATACCTAAGTGTGTAAAAAATCTTCATCTTATTACTACACAGAACAAACACCATGAAATATCACTTAACATTGCTCACATACTAAACACAACTTGGACTGACTTTGACAGATAACATCATTTTGAGTGATACACAACTTATTTTCGCACATGCGCGTTACAAAACGGTTCACTGAAAACACCAAGCTGTCGCTTCTCCTTGATCGGTATTCTCGGATATAACCATATGCAGTAAAAGGGAATATACGATTCGACTCGAATTCGACAATAAAGTCTATTGTTAAACTCGACACCGCTAGATAGTGTAGTCGATTCGATATGAAATCGTTAATTTTAAAGTTAGACTTTTTGACAATAGGGAGGTAAATTATCCTGTGGCGTAAAATCTTGTGGGATCCAAGCTACGCTACTGATTATTGAACTGGATGACAGGGGATGAAAGTGTCATATATGGTTATTCTTGGAATGTAATTAAGACGTTATTTTTGTATTTGCAATTTCATATTAAAAGTTATTATTAAAGACGTTTAGACTTTTTATCAAGCCACACCAGTAAATTTCCTACAATCTTATGGCAAAAAAGATTTCATTTTTGTTCTTTGAAGTTACAAAGTCAACTTTAACACTCATCAACCTCTTGATAGTTAAGTTCAAGACATGCCACCGGATACCTGGTCCTCCTTACTTGGGTAACACCATTAACAATAATTTTTATATTTTATATTACATGGCAACTTTTACTTTGACTGTGATCTTACTCACAGACTGGGATCACATTCATTTACATCCTGGTTGGCTCCACAAGAAGTATGATTTCAGTCAACTCTGATTTCTTTCCTTATGAAAGTTTAACTTTTTCTGAGTCAATTATTAACTCCTGGGATCTACTCGCTATTTACAGAGATCATTAGCTGTCCATTCTGTCTGGATAATCGTTTGAGCACACTGTTATTGTCTTTATTAAATTAAAAATTAACTTTTTTTAAATGGATTTAATTGAAATTGGTGGATGTTTTAAATGTTTGTTAAATATATTTTCCGATATTAGGTTTAAGCTATTATGTAAAATTAACTAACAATCGTAATAGTAGTTTGTGCAACAAGAGTGGATATGATGGCTATATGGACAGTCCACTCAAGTTTTACAGTATATTTTTTCCACGACCCACTAACGAAAACCTACAAAATTAAAAAAGTATTTTAGGGTATTAAAAAAAAATAACTAATTTTAAATTTATTTATGAATTTTCCTAATTTAATAAATAAAATAAACATGAAAAAAAAATTTAATTTAATTTAATTAGTCCCCACCCATTTTGATCCCAAATAAAAATAAAAATGATTTTATCGATTCTACACAAAAATAACTCATTTTAATGTAAAAGTAATCTCGATAACTGAAAATTATGCTGACAATTAGTTTGACAGAATTGTCAATAATTTAAAATTTTAAAAATAATAGTAGTTGGGTGTCCATAACATGAACTATGATTGGCGGATTTCATTTTTTTGCAGTGTTCTCACTACCTAGGAAACGATTTTTTCTACACACACATGGATATTGGCTAATCTACGCCCAGATTACGAAACGAAAGAGTATGCTATTGCATTCAACTGAACGAATATATATTTCATATCCATTCTAGGTAGTGAGAACACTGCAAAAAAATGAAATCCACCAATCACAGTTCATATTTTGGACACCCAACTACTATTATTTTTAAAATTTAAAATAAGTGACAATTTTGTCAAACTAAGTGTTCGCCTAATTTTTTAGTCATTGAAATCACATATACCTACATTAAAATGAATTATTTTTGTGTAGAATCGATAAATAATAAATAGCATTTTTATTTTAATTCGGTCCATATTTAGAAAAAAAATTACATTTTAATCAAACTTTAGGAAACTATTTTAATTACGAGTATTAAAACCAAAATCCTAAAAGTGGCAGTGGACGCGAGGACAAAACGCTTGCCTTCCACGCGAAGCTCTGGATCGAATCTCGGCAGGAGATTAATTAAACATTTTTTTTTATATTTTATTTTAAAATACAGTAAAATTCATAAATTATTTTAAAATTAGTTATTTTGTCTTAATAACCTAAAATATTTGTTTAAAGTTGTAGATTTTGGTTAGTGGGTCGTAGAGAAAATATACTGTACAACTCGAGTGGATTGTCCTTATTCACTTTAGTTGCACAAACTACTATTTTTGTAACGTGAGCTAATAATTATGAATACTTGTTTACTCCCGAAGCTATACTTGCAAGTTCGAAAAGTCGCTCAGATACTAGTCACCTAGTCATCTTTAAAAATAGAGACAGTTTTTAAGTCAAAGTGTAATTTCATTTATTATTACCAACCAATATGTTTTTATTGGTGTCTGTGGCTTTGGCCACTTAGGCCTTTAGCTTGGAGTACTGGTAATCTAACACTCCATATTACAGGAATGCTAGTACTTTAATACACGCCTACAGATAGGCCTTGTTGCTGTTTTCCAGCGCCACTTTAGGATCCGCACTGTTGATTAGAACCTTACAGTGAATGGTTGGAGTGGAGAATCCTACATATGAATCAGAATTATTTTTAAATAAATAAATTAAATAAAAAATCCTTGCCAACGGTGGAGTTCGAACCGCGAACTCTTGGATTTGCAAGTCTTAAAATATTTAATGACATGCTGGGATAGAAGATGGATAACTTAAAATTTACCGAAACGTTTATAATGTCCGGCAAAACTGAAATCTTACCTTTAATTATTTTTATTGTTGCTGGAGAGTTATTAGGTACTCTCTCACGTAACTAAACAAACTGTTTGGATTTTGTATTAAATGCAAAAACATAATAATTATACATTTATTATTTTTAGAGAAAACTAGTATTTACTTTAATCGAATCTACGTGTTTAATTTTTTTGCTCTGTATAAATTAAAGCAGCTGATTTTTAAATTATTTCTTTCAAAATAACAATCATTTTTTTTCTTCCCATGTTTTTATTCTCAAACAGGACTTTATACAATATTAAAAATAGTTATTTCTATGAACACTACTACTATTAATACAATAATACCAAGTGCAACAATTTTTCCAAATTATCCTGAGTCCGGTTGAAAACAATATTTGTCCAACGCCTGACTATTGCTAGATATGAATGCAATGGTTTCTATATTTTGAGGTGAGGATATTAGAGGAGATACCTGCTGTGAATTCCCCTGAAACTAAACTCGAGCGCCGAGAGCAATACCTCTTAACTTTCAATGGAACCAAAATTACGTCACACTTTCATAGCGTATTCACGTTGTGTTTGTATAATCTTTACTTTTTGTGCTTCGAGTTAGATGAAATATTATGCTACTGTTTTATATTCAATTTTTAAAAAATTATCTGACTGATGTATTAATCCCTCATCTGACTGCAAAAAGTGGCACGTTGTGTTTTTTGCTTGCTATTTGTATTTCGGTATAGAGGAGAGTGGGGACAACATGTACTATAGTCCCGGTGGTGAGAGCTGTGAGCTGTCGTATAACCTGTCAAATTCAAAGTAAAGTTGCTTATCGATTAATTTTTTTTTTAATTATTGTAGATGTCTAGAAGTATATATTTCATTGCTTTGCATTTGACAGGTCACATGACAACTCCCACCACCGGGACATAGCACATGTTTTTCACCCCCCTCCCCTGTATCCAACTACAAATAGCAACCAAAAAACATGCAGTGCTACTTCTTGCAGTCAGGTGAGGGACTATGTGTGTAAGTTGATTTAATATATTATTTATGATGCTTGACAACCTTTATTTTGTACACAATGTTGTACTGAAATTATTTGTTTTGAATTTTTATTTTATATTTCTTAATCAAATAATGAAGATATTGCACAGCCAAAAATTTATGGGACACAGCTGGTATGGCCAGCCATATATTTAAAGTTCTAATAAGAAATATTCACACCAATTTTTAATTTTAGTTATCGAAAGAAGCGAAAGACATCCTCGAAGAAAAATTCCTCTCTTTGGGATACCCCAAAATGATAGAAAGTAAAGTTTTGAATTTTATAAAAACCAATTTACATCATCTACCGATGTACGCTCATCCAGATGTAGTTAGAGAAATACTAAACAATTTCAATAATAGTCCATTATTTACAGAATAAAAACTGTTCCGCAAAAGTTTTATTTTATTTCTGTTAAATCGCATATGCCAGAGAAGAAACGATATAGTATCAATGTTTCTAATCGACTCAGCAGTGAAAGAGAGAATACGAAATTACGGGAAATGTTCAAAGAACAGAGAAACGTTATGAATAAAGGTAAGGAGAGTAATTAAGACTGAAATAGTGCCATAGGAAAGTGGTGGGGAAAATATATGCGGTCTATAGCTTTTGTATTAAATTTGTTTTGGTTAACGTTCTAGAGTTGTTTCAGAACCATGCACAGAAATATTGCGTAATGGTCTTTAATTCTGACTAGTTCTGTAACCATTCCATTTGTACCCGAAACCAAAATACTGCCAGAACAGTTAAATGTCAAAAAGTAAATTATAAGTTAAAAAGAGGAAATAACACAAGGTTAGTGTCTAAGTAAAAAAGAAGCCATATAATATTCTGAAACGTAGATTAATTAAATAATTTATTCATAAAAAAACTTAAAACCCAACATCAACTAATCAGCTGCCCCATTCTCATTAGTCATTCGAAAATTTATTGTAAAAATTCTAACACAAAACATGGCCAGAATCCCAAATAAAAATTACTTGTAAAAAAGCGCAAATATATCAATTCTGAAACAGTTCTCGCTTTGGGCCAGAACCGAAGTTACTGTTCGAGAATGGTTATGGAACCATTCCCAAGAAAAACCAAAACACAGAACTTACAGGTACCAAAACAGCAAATATCTATTGCACATGCTCAAAAGGTTTTATAAGAGTTCTGGAACAGTTACGAACGTGAACCATAGGTCGTATTTAGGGGGCGGGTGTTTGGGGGTTAGAACCCTCCCCGAAATTATTTATCAAATAATAAAGTTCAGGAAATCTGACTGCAAAAGTAAAAACCTCAGAAAAAAGTAAAAACAATCTTTGAAATAAAAAATACATTAAACTTGGAACTTAAATTAGACTTGGAACAATATGCCAATAATTTTTTAATTTTGAAGAAACGACGATTTGGAAAGCAACATTGCGATTAGCAAATTTTGCATTAGTAAGTTTTTTACATTATTTTCTATATTTTTTGCGTTATTTATATTTTTTAATTTTATGACGATAATAACAATTAGCAGTGGCTAATTGTGGATCTAAAGGGGGCCAGAGGGGCCCGGGCCCCTATCAAACTTAATATTTTGTATGTTTTCTCTTTACGGTTGATTCACATTTATTTCCTTCTTATACAAGTCCAAAAAGTCTCCGTACACTACCTGCTTTACATCGAACTTTTTTGTTGTATTCAATTAATTAATCAAAACTCTATGAGAACATATTTTTATTGAAAATTGAAACATACTTTTACCGATTATTAGTAATAATTGCAAAAACGAATCCTTATTTAAAAATTACATCAATAATATAAACATCTATACAAAAATAATGCCAAAAAAGTCTCCGTACACTTCACAATTTCTAATAATAATTTAACAGATAGGAAACAAATGTAAAAACTAATATTTAGTTGGACCGCCCTTGGCCTTGATAATCGCTTGTAATCTTCTTGTCATACTTGAAACCAACTTTCTAGTAAGTTCTGCTGGAATGTTCTCCCATTCGTGCAATACTCTGTTTTTTAACTCTTCCTTACTTTAAACGTTATGTTTGCGAACGCGCCGTTTAAGTTCCTCCCATAAATGTTCAATGGGGTAAACATCAGGTGATTGCGGGGGTGTGTGAAGTTGCTGTCGCACGTTATGGATCATCCATTCTCGCACCAAGTTTGCAGTATACTTTGGATCATTGTCCTGTTGGAAAATGTATCTTCCTTCGAGCGCTAATTTCTGCACATTTTCTGCTAAATTGTCTCGCAAAATGTTCATATAGACATGCTGATCCATGGTCCCATTAATGAAATGTAAATTTCCAACACCTCCAGCAGACATGCATCCCCATAGCAGAACAGTGCCACCCCCGTGTCTTACCGTGGAACAGAGGTTTTTCATATCAAAGGCGGTATTCTTTATCCAAACTTTAGCTCTACCATCATATCCAAAAAGGTTAATTTTAATTTCGTCACTAAATATTACAGATTCCCAAAATAAATTCAGGAGACTTATTAACGTATTCTGTAGCAAAAGCTACACCCCTTATAGCCTGCTCTGTGTATACAATTTCTCACCGTTTGTGGGCAAACATTTTTTGAAAATAGCTCTCGTATTTTTTCTTTTAGTTTTGGTGCACTTTTTTTGGGATTTATAATTACTTGCCTAACAATACTAGCTTCTTCACGCAGAGTCAGTTTCTTGGGACGACCACAACGTGGTCGAATCTTGTAGGAACCCGTTAATTTATACTGGTTTCTAATGTACTGAACGGTAGTATACGGCTTCTTAACAATTTATCCAATATTTCCAAGGGAGTTTTTTTCTTTCCATAAATCAACTATCAACTTTCGAAGTGGAATTGCAATTTCACGATTTCTTTCGCTCATTTTTAATGCTAATTTGAAACTTCACTGCAAATCTACCAACAACAAATGACAGATAATAAATTATGGCCGATAATTATTCATTTGTTTTTAGGCTGGCGAGCCATAGGTGCCTTGATGAAATGCAGCTAATTATAATGTGCTTTTTTCAATGAAAATTATGAGTGTACGGAGACTTTTTTGACATGAATTTTGCATAGATTTTTATAATACCGATGTTTCTTTTAAATAAAAATGTCCATTTATTGTAATTATAGCTTATAATCGTTACTTATGCTTTAGTTATTGAAAAGAGCGTATTCTCTCGTAGTTTCAATTAATAAATTAAATGCAACAGAAAAATTCTATATAAAGCAAGTAGTGTACGGAGACTTTTTAGACTAACTGTATATGTATTGTATGAGCCCCCTCTTGCCAAAAATGTCTAGATACGCTACTGACAATTAATACTTATATTGTCACATAATTTTGCGGGGAGGGGCTCAAATGTTTACCGCCACCACTGCACCAATTAAAAATCATTGTGTCCACGACGCCACCCGAATTGCTCCGATATTTCTATTCTACGCTGATCTCCGCGTGAGTTGAATCATCTTGATCCGCCGTTTTTTGAATTATTTGTTGGTGTTATTAGCAATTTAGAGTTTTAGTTATTTAATTTCAAATTAAAAATGCCACGATGTATCGGTTTCTACTTCTAAATTACGTCAAATGGTACGGTCCTCCCGGCTCCCGACAACGGCAATCCGAATACTTACTTAATAACCCTGTGTTATTTCTTCTTTTTTATTTATAATTTACTTTCTATTTAACTGTTCTAGCAGTGTTGCGGTTTTGATTAAAAATGGAATGGTTATAGAACTGTTAAAATAAGGACTATTGTGCAATAGTTCTGCTCATGGTTCTGGAACAATTCTAGAACGAGAACCAAAACAAACCTTATACCAACTAAGGGAGGTAGTAAGGGGAGGAGATGACACCGTACGAAATATGGAGGGTAGAGAAAAGGAGGACAATCTTATATGGATCTTTATATTAAAAAGTGGCCACCAAAATGTATACAATTAAGATGGCGCTCGTGTAGCCAGGGGAAAAAATCCAATGCTATATAGTCATATAGATTGCTCATTCATAATTAAATCAGACAGGAAGCAGTAAATTGAGACCTCCGTGCCATTTTAATATAAGAATTATTTATTGTTTATATTATTATTTTTCAATAAAATTTGACTATTGTCGTGTATTGTCAAAATTTATCTACGGTCACAGAACACTTACTCTTCTACGATCAGTCACTTTTCACGGTGTAGTTTTTAGTTTTTTATGGTTGAGCCATATTTATTACTATATACATCATTGGTGTCATTGTGTGATCTGAATTATCGACTGTCAACGTCCCCTGGGCACAGAAGCGCCATCTTAATTGTATACATTTTGAGGGACACTTTTTGTATACAGAGATTGTTCTCCTTTCCTCTACCCTCCATAGTACGAAATTAGTGACACCAATTTCGCTATAATGTATGAACTTTTTGACATTTGTATATAGGTAGGTTACATTGTGTTTTTATTTATATTGTGGTAATTTATCTATATAAAAACTATAAAACACTAATGATTAAAAGAATGATGCATTGCGCAAAACTCAGTTATTCCAGTATATCGGGTGTAGATGAGAAGAAATCTTCAGGAATAACATTTTACCGGTAAGTATATACAAAAAACATATCCGTCTAGAAAATTATTACCGTCGTATCTATAAATAGTAATTTGTGCAACAAGAGTGAATATGATAGCCACATTGCTCGAAGACGACATCTAAATGCGATACGGACAATTTACTCGAGTTGTGTGGTATATTTTTTCTAGGACCCACAAATTTTAAAAATTAATTTGGGCCATTAAGAATAAATAACTAATTTAAAAATAATTTATGAATTTCACTAATTTATAAAATATAACAAAATCAGAAATAATAAAATCTCAAAACTATGTTTTAAAATAAATTACTTAATTTATTATAATCCATTCCTGTTTTCAAATTTGCAATATCTAATAACTTTGACCATGACCATAGACGATATTGACATTTATTAAAAACTCTATTGAAAGTTATAATTAAAATAATTGTGTACCTAACCAGACAATTTACATATATTAAAAAAATATATACAAATAAATAAATCTTGTTAGCAACAAAATAACACGTACCTACCTAAAAATTTGACAAATTGTTATTTTTAAAACACTGGTAGCACAGAAATCGGAGGAGTCGCTTGTTTACACTAAAAAAAAAATAGCAAGTTTGTGAAGAAATTGTAATTTCACAAGAAGGTTTTTGTTGAATGATTTTTAAGATTTTCATAAAGGCCTAACTCAACAAAAATTTATTGAATCGACTCGTTCAAATTTTGGTAATAATAATGAAGAACCACCAGAAAAGACTATTACAACAACTGGTTTACAGAATTTCGTCATGAGCATGCTTCCGTCAGTGATTAATTTCGTGAAGGTCAACTAAAATCGGTTATTTCAA